TATATATATATATATGTATATACATATACATATACATATATATATATATATATACCACCCTCAAAGTCTAACTAACTAAGATATCTTCAGATATTCATTATTGGAGTTTGTGATTGACTTTTTAGAGCAGAAAACGATGCAACAAAGAGCCAATAATCCAGGGATAGTTTGGACCAGATCCAGCGTCTGGTTCAGGCATGTGACCACGGGCTCCTTCTCCTGGGCTCCGGGTTCTGACCTTGTTAACCTCGGTGCATGGGGTAGAAAGTGGGACATGAAAAATGACTATTGAACCAGGCTAAAGTGATTTTTAGTTGGAGCTGCTGTGAGTATTTTTGTTGGAGGGGGACGGCTTCCACTGAAGGACTGAACTCGTCCTCCGGGACCGGAACGTTCCAGCAGAAGCACAACTGAACTTGTGAGCTTTGTGCCCTTGTTGCTGTAACCTTCTGCACGGCTCCTCCTCACCTTCGCCTTCTTCCCACCGATATAAGGCTGCGTCCGTGATATTGACAAGTCGATGCTTCGCAAATGATTCCAATTCCACCCAATCCAAAGCTTCTGGGCTCTATCAAGTTTCCTGGCACCGCCTCTGAAGATCCAGTGAACTCTGAGCTCTGGTGAAGGTCTTTATCTGGTAACTGGGGTTTTTTGTTTCTAAGAAATCATTACCATAATTCTCTAACAAAGACCATTAGTTTATATAAAAAAAAATAATAATAAAAGAGCCAAGAGTCAAATAATCTTATGAAGACCAGATGTGATTTGGTGAGTATTCATGAGAATCTGAAAAATCGTCTTGTTTCCAAAACACAGCCTCTCAAGGCAGAACCAGCCGAGTTAAACGGACAACTGCAACGCTGCTAAGTGTTATTCAGTGTGTTGTCTGTAAGCAGCTGTAACTGGATCCAGCTTGGATTGTTGTGCATCGGTTTGAGTTTTTCTAAACTCAAGGAAGCTGTTAGCATCACCTGCAGAGGTTTGGTCGCTCTGCCTACGGCTCTGTCCATAAAGGGACCTCATAAATCAGACTCCTATGACATCAGTAGCTGCAGTGGCGTTTTACGGTCCTCCGGGGGGCAGCACATTATTTCCACATCCTGTATCAAACACACTGACGTTCGCTCCGCCGACTCGTCTCATGATGAAAAACAGTGTCACAGCACAGAGAACATCTTTGATGCCACAGGACATGCGTGAGGCCTCGTGACTTCATGTTCGTCTGTATTTTGAGTCGATGCTCGAGGCTAGCGTCCTACATTCACTGTACATTTTCCTTAATTGAAAAAGTTTAAGTTCAGCTAGTAAGTCTAATAATTAGCTCAAAGCTAGGCTCAAGTGAATGCAGAACTAAACTAAAATAACAGAGTTGGACCGAGAAGCTTATTCTGAATACATAACGAGCTACAGTTAGCAAAAGTTCCCTAAAGCTGAAAACTAACTGAAAAGCTAGTAATTATAAAATAAGCTGAAATCGTTTTAAAAGCTGACATTTTTAAACAAAAGTTCCACCCAGACACAAGAAGTAGAAAAAACACAGGCCTATATTTAGCAAATCTGCAAATTAGCAAAAAAGAACGCAGCTTACGGTTAGCAAATAAAATGCTAAAGTGAACAAAATGAGTCAAATTTAACCTTGGAAAAATATTCTAGAGAGCGTCATCAAGTACCACACTTGGCCCCAGAGCCAGAGTTTGAACACGACTGGAGGCAACATAAGGCGGTGTTGCCACATAAGTGTTATAAATGCACGTGCATACTGCGCAAAAGCAAAACGAGATTTTTTTTTTTTTTTTTTTTTTTGCCCAGAGCCCCGACCATGGTTTCCTGGAACAATGCAGCTGATGAGAGTCTCTCCAAGGAAAATAAGGCTCTGACATCATGGGTTCTTAAAGCACACAGCTGAGCCAACACTCTTCTGCTATAATCAAACCTCAGTGAATTTCCACTGTCGACTCAAATTGAGAAATAGGGGAGAATCTCCTCAACACTTTTTTCCCCCTCCTTCACGGGCTTTGATGCGAACGCTCATTTTTCCCCGAGGCTCACGCTGCACTTGCTGTTCTCCTGTGTCCACTTCCACCTTACACCTGGCTCTGTTTTGGCAGGAACGACAAAAAAAAGAAAAGAAAAAAATGACACGAGGCTACTTGTTTATTAGTCTGCATCATGACGTCCCTGCCCAGAGCACGGACCCCCGGCTCCCCCCGGGATATGACAGTGTGTGGGCTGTCCAAGCGGAGGACGCCGCAGCTTTGACGACAGCGAGGAGCATAAGTTAAAACCCAGCAGAGTGAAATCCTGCGTGTCCTACTGGAAAGAAAACCCAAAAACGGTCGAAGACTGATGAAGCCCCGCAACCACTTTCCTGTAAAACAACCAGTAGAATAAGTAGTAAAATTGGTGAGTGTGTTGTAAGACAGACCACAAGGTCATTGAAAAGACAATTGTGTGCTTAAGATGAGGAGTTGAAGAGTGTGCAAAGATTGGGTTTCAGGGCCCTGTCCAGAATCCGTGTCCTCAGATGCACCGTGGTTCTGAGTGCAGGCAGATCAATGAGGGAAAGGGAACGAGGTTGTTTCCAGAACCATTCTGGTTCTTGAGGTTATGCAAACAAGCTTTTTATGTTGCACGTCACCGTGTAAAACCAAACTTCGGACATTCGAGGGGCCCCTCCATATTTTCCACGTTCTGCGTCCGCAGAGAGTCACTACGCATTCCCGCATGAGCGTATGCGGCCGCAGCAGAGGCTGCATGGAATTCTCGGCAGGATTAGCAAAAGTCAGATGTTAGTTTGGACCACAGGGTGGCGTCACGGTTATTAGTGTTGTCTCGCAAAAACAATACCGGTCGGCTGTGCAATGGGTCGAACGAATTCTTAACGGCCCACATCAAGGCTGGTCCTGACTGTGGGTCACATCCTCAGCCAGGTCGGTCATGACAGCAGGGTTGGTATTAGTCTGTGGCCATAGGTTCACGGATGTAGTGAAGACGATGTGGAGCTGGTTGTGGTGAGGAGGATGAGGTGGAATCGAACCACAAACCTTCTGGATTGTAGCTGAAAATAGCCCGATAACGGTGAAAATTTCAGGATCGAAGTGAAAAAAGATCAACTACTGCGAATCCGATCCGATAGCTAAGC